GTATACTGATTTGTTGGAAACCGCCTTGAGTCGCCAATTGGCTGAGAAAGGCGGTATACAAATACAGTAAATAAATAAATGATCATGGGAATTCTGTGTGCCAAGTTTGGTTCAATTCCATTGTTGGTGAAGTTCAGAATGCTCTTTGATTGTAGGTTAACTATAAATCCCAGCAGCTACAAATCCCAAATGACAAAATCAATCCCACCCAACCCCACCAATATTCAAATTTGCGCATATTGGGTATTTGTGCCAAATTTGGTCCAGTTAATGAAAATACATCCTGCATATCAGATATTTCATTACAATTCATAACAGTAGAAAAATTACAGTTATGAAGTAGCAACAAAAAATAATGTTATGGTTGAGGGTCACCACAACATGAGGAACTGTATTAAGGGGTTGTAGCATTAGGAAGGTTGAGAAACACTGACTTACTTAAAAACAAATAGGTCTCATCTTCATCCACAGTTATGTCATGATAAAATCTCAATAAATCAAAATGCCTTAAAGTGTGAAATGATGATGAATACATTATGTTAAAAATGATATTCCATTTTTCAATGTTTTGAACAACTCATCACTGGCTATAGTCAAACCATTTATTTATTTATTTACAACATTTATATCCCGCCCTACTCATTCTGAAGAGGACTCAGAGTGGCTTACAAGTTATTTATTTATTTATTTATAACATTTATATTTCGCCCTTCTCACCCCGCATGGGACTCAGGGCGGAGCACAACCTATATATGGCAATCATTCAATGCCAGGACATAAAAACCATAAATACATACAAACATTAAAATCACTTATATCCACTTTATAATCAGTTGCTTAAAAACCATCTCAGGACACCATACTATTATTGCCTCATCACAGTGCCCCAAAGGCTTGGTCCCACAGCCAGGTCTTCACCATCCTTCTCAAGGACAGGAGGGAGGGGGCTGATCTAATATTATATATATACAATATATATATATTATTGTTATGTATACGTACAATATATATTATTAGCACAGCAATTATATATTACTATATTGCATTATACCACTAAACTGTAATATTATTAGTAATATTACATGTTTATATATATATATATATATATACACACACACACGACATTTATATGCCGCCCTTCTCACCGCCCTACTATGCTAATAATATATTATATAATATATATATAATATATTATATTATTAGCATAGTACAATATCAGTATTATATATTACTATATTGTACTTTACCATTATATTGTAATATCATTAGTAATATTACATGTAATATAAATATAATTATAATATAATATTATTAGTATAACATTGTATTACATTATAATATTATAAATATATGTATATACAATATATTTATTATTGTTATATATACATGCAATATATATTATTAGCACAGCACAATATTAGAATTATGTATTACTATACTCCAGCAAAGGATCACCGCCTTGTCGGGGCGCTGGAGCTTGAGCACCTCAATGATGTCATGAGCGAAACCGTGAAGGGACACCCAAGACGGGACGGTTGTGGCAGAGAGGTCAGACCAAGCGTGATCCCTGGGAAAGGCAATGGCAAACCACCCCAGTATCCTTGCCAAGAAAACTAAATGGACCAGTACAACCAGAGATATGTCGGTATGCCATTGGAAGATGGGACTCCCAGGTCGGAAGATGGCCAAAATGCTACTGGGGAGGAGCAGAGGATAAGTTCAACTAGCCCCAGATGTGATGACGCAGCTAGCTCAAAGCCGAAAGGAAGGCTAGCGGCCCACGGTACTGGAGGTGAACGACGAATCCGATGCTCTAAAGATCAACACACCATAGGAACCTGGAATGTAAGATCTATGAGCCAGGGCAAATTGGATGTTGTTATTGGTGAGATGTCAAGACTAAAGATAGACATTCTGGGGGTCAGCGAACTGAAATGGACTGGAATGGGCCACTTCACATCAGATGACCACCAGATCTACTACTGCGGACAAGAGGAACATCGAAGAAATGGAGTAGCCTTCATAATTAATAAGAAATTCGCTAAAGCGGTGCTTGGATACAACCCAAAAAACGACAGAATGATCTCAATTCGAGTGCAAGGAAAGCCTTTCAACATTACAGTGATCCAAATATACGCCCCAACCACAGCTGCTGAAGAAGCAGAAGTAGATCAGTTCTATGAGGATCTGCAGAACCTACTGGATAATACACCAAAAAGAGACATTATTTTCATTACAGGAGACTGGAATGCCAAGGTGGGAAGTCAAATGACAACTGGGATCACAGGCAAGCATGGTCTGGGAGAACAAAATGAAGCGGGACGCAGGCTGATAGAATTTTGCCAGGAAAACTCGCTGTGTATAACGAATACTCTCTTCCAACAACCTAAAAGACGGCTTTACACATGGACCTCACCAGACGGTCAACACCGAAATCGGATTGACTACATCCTTTGCAGCCAAAGGTGGCGGACATCCATCCAGTCGGTGAAAACAAGACCTGGGGCTGACTGTAGCTCAGATCACGAACTTCTTATTGCCCAATTTAGAATAAAACTAAAGAGATCAGGGAAAATACACAGACCAGTTAGATATTATCTCACTAACATTCCTAGCGAATATACAGTGGAAGTGAAGAACAGATTTGAAGGACTAGATTTAGTAAACAGAGTCCCAGAAGAACTATGGACAGAACTCTGTGACATTGTTCAGGGGACGACAACAAAGAAAAAGAAAACAAAGAAGGCAAAATGGTTGTCTGCTGAGACACTGGAAGTAGCCCAAGAAAGGAGGAAAGCAAAAGGAAACAGGATAAGGGGAGATATGCCCAGTTAAATGCGGAATTCCAGAGGTTAGCCAGAAGAGATAAGGAACTATTTTTAAATAAGCAATGCATGGAAGTGGAAGAAGACAACAGAATAGGAAGGACAAGAGACCTCTTCCAGAAAATTAGAAACATTGGAGGTAAATTTCAGGCAAAAATTGGTATGATAAGAATCAAAGATGGCAGGGACCTAACAGAAGCTGAAGAGATCAAGAGAAGGTGGCGAGACTACACAGAAGATCTGTATAGGAAGGATAATAATATTGAGGATAGTTTTGACGGTGTGGTGAATGAATTAGAACCAGACATCCTGAGGAGTGAGGTTGAATGGGCCTTAAGAAGCATTGCTAACAACAAGGCAGCAGGAGACGGGATCCCAGCTGAACTGTTTAAAATCTTAAAAGATGATGCTGTCAAGGTGATGCATGCCATTTGCCAGCAAATATGGAAAACACAAGAATGGCCATCAGACTGGAAAAATCAACTTATATCCCCATACCAAAAAAGGGAAATGCGAAAGACTGCTCAAACTTCCGTACAGTGGCCCTTATTTCTCATGCCAGTAAGGTAATGCTCAAGATCCTGCAAGGAAGACTCCAGCAATACATGGAGCGAGAGTTGCCAGATGTTCAAGCTGGGTTTAGAAAAGGCAGAGGAACGAGAGATCAAATTGCCAATATCCGCTGGATAATGGAGAAAGGCAGGGAGTTTCAGAAAAACATCTACTTCTGCTTCATTGACTATTCTAAAGCCTTTGACTGTGTGGATCATAATAAATTGTGGCAAGTTCTTGGTGGGATGGGCCCAAGCCACCTTGTCTCTCTCCTGAGGAATCTGTACAAGGACCAAGTAGCAACAGTAAGAACTGACCAAGGAACAACAGACTGGTTCAAGATTGGGAAAGGCGTCCGGCAAGGCTGCATCCTCTCACCCAACCTTTTTAACTTGTATGCAGAACACATCATGCGATGTGCGGGGCTGGATGAATGCAAAGCTGGGGTGAAAATTGCTGGAAGAAACATTAACAACCTCAGATATGCAGATGACACCACTCTGATGGCCGAAAGCGAGGAGGAGCTGAGGAGCCTTCTAATCAAGGTGAAAGAAGAAAGCGCAAAAGCCGGGTTGCAGCTAAACGTCAAAAAAACCAAGATTATGGCAACAAGAGTGATTGACAACTGGAAAATAGAGGGAGAAACCGTGGAGGCCGTGACAGACTTTGTATTTCTAGGTGCAAAGATTACTGCAGATGCAGACTGTGGCCAGGAAATCAGAAGACGCTTACTTCTTGGAGGAGAGCAATGTCCAATCTTGATAAAATAGTAAAGAGTAGAGACATCAGACTGGCAACAAAGATCCGCCTAGTCAAAGCCATGGTATTCCCTGTAGTAACCTACGGATGTGAGAGCTGGACCTTAGGGAAGGCTAGCTAAGGAAGATCGATGCTTTTGAACTGTTGTGTTGGAGGAAAGTTCTGAGAGTGCCTTGGACTGCGAGAAGATCCAACCAGTCCATCCTCCAGGAAATAAAGCCCGACTGCTCACTGGAGGGAAAGATACTAGAGACAAAGTTGAAGTACTTTGGCCACATCATGAGGAGACAGGAAAGCCTAGAGAAGACAATTATGCTGGGGAAAGTGGAAGGCAAAAGGAAGATGGGCCGACCAAGGGCAAGATGGATGGATGGCATCCTTGAAGTGACTGGACTGACCTTGAGGAGCTGGGGGTGGTAACGGCCGACAGGGAGCTCTGGCGTGGGCTGGTCCATGAGGTCACGAAGAGTCGGAGACGACTGAACGAATGAACAACAACAACAACACTACTATATTCTACTATATCACTATACTGTAATATTATTAGTTAAAATTACATGTATTATTTATTTAATTTATTTCCAGTATTTCTACCCCGTCCTTCTCAACCCCCAAAAGGTGACTCAGGGCGGCTTACATTTCTCACAATTTGATGCCATTAAATATACCAAAGCAATATAAGAACAATCAAAACAATAAATAGAACATTAATTAAAACAATAAAACCAGTATTAACCGCTATATCACCATTCCAGTCAAATTCCATAACCAAAGGGCTATTTATGCATGCTGTCCAAAAGCCTAATCCCAGAACCACAACTTCTATTTCTTCCTAAGAGACAGGAGGGATGAAGCCGATCTTACCTCGTTGGGAAGCAAGATCCATAGGCGGGGAGCTACAGCCAAGAAGGTCCTGTCTCTCATCTCCGCCAGACGTATTTGCGATCCTGGTGGGAGTGAGAGCAGGGTCTCCCCAGATGATCTTAAACTGCAAGGCGGGACATAGAGGGAGATGCATTCAGACAAGTATGCTGGGCCAGAACTGTATAGAGCTTTATAGGTCAAAACCAGCACTTTGAATTGAATTTGGAAGTGGAGCGGCAGCCAGTGGAGCTGACACAAGGGGGTGGTGTGCTCCCTGTATGTTGCTCCAGTTAGTAATCTGGCTGCAGCCCGTTGGACTAGTTGAAGTTCCCGAACAGTCTTCAAAGGCAGCCCCACATAGAGTATTATATATATAGTATTATGCCACGATGAACAACTGTACTGCATCCTGTCAGATCCCCAAAATCTGGAGGAAAGCTAGAGTCATTGCCATCTTGAAGCCAAGCAAAGACCGTAATGATCCAAAAAGCTATAGACCAATCTCCCTGTTATGCCATCTTTACAAAGTTCTGGAGATACTTAATTTGCATAGAATTATGGAAAAAATAGACCCATGTCTGATTCCACAGCAAGCTGGCTTCAGGAAAAGCAAAAGCTGCACATCGCAAGTGCTGAACCTGACTCAGCACATAGAAGATGGCTTTGAAAGGCAGCAGATCACAGGAGCTGTCTTCATAGACCTGTCAGCAGCTTATGATACTGTAAACCACTGCCTCCTCCTGAGAAAAATGTAGAATATCACAAAGGACTACCATCTCACCTACCTCATAGGAAACCTGCTACAAAACAGGAGCTTCTTTGTTGAGTTCCAGGGCCAGAGAAGCAGATGGCGGAAACAGAAGAACAGAGTGCCTCAGGGGACTGTGCTTGCTCCATCAATGTTCAACATTTACACAGTTGACCAGCCACTGCCAGAAGGGACAGAGAGTTTCATCTATGCTGATTATCGTGCCATCACTGCTCAAGCAGGGAGCTTTGAGATGGTTGAACAGAAGCTCTCCGAAGCTCTAGGTGCTCTTACTGCCTATTAGAGGGAAAACCAGCTGATCCCTAACCCATCTAAAACACAGACATGTGCCTTTCACCTTAAGAACAGACAAGCATCCAGAGCTCTGAGGACTACCTGGGAAGGAATCCCACTGGACCATTGCAGCACACCCAATTACCTGGGAGTCACTCTTACCTACAAGGACTGCCTGAATATCAAGCAAAAAGTGGGTGCTAGAAAAAATATCATACGAAAGCTGACTGGCACAACCTGGGGATCACAACCTGATACAGTGAAGACATCTGCCCTTGTGCTATGCTACTCTGCTGCTCAGTATGCATGCCCAGTGTGGAACACATCTCACCATGCTAAGACAGTAGATGTGGCTCTTAATGAGACATGCCACATTATCACAGGGTGTCTGCGTCCTACACCTTTGGAGAAATTACACTGTTTAGTTGGTATTGCACCACCTGACATCCACTGGGAAGTAGCCGCCAATAGTGAAAGGACCAAGGCAGTGACGTCTCTGGCCCACCCCCTGTTTGGGTATCAGCTAGCACGTCAACGACTTAAATCAAGAAATAGTTTTCTAAAGATCTACAGAGACACTCACCAGTTGTTTGTTTCCTCAGCAAGTGAGAGTCCAAAAATGGCAGGCTAAAACCCAGAACCTCAATCAATGGCTGATACCAAATGAGAGACTCCCTCCTGGGCACACAGAAAACTGGGCGACTTAGAAGGCACAGAACAGACTGCGCTCTGGAACCACGAGATGCAGAGCCAACCTTAAGAAATGGTGCTACAAAGTGGAACCCATGACATGTGAGTGTGGAGAAGAGCAAACCACTGACCACCTGCTGCAATGCAACCTGAGCCCTGCCACATGCACAATGGAGGACCTTCTTATAGTAACACCAGAGGCACTCCGAGTGGCCAAATACTGATCAAAGGACATTTAATCAACTACCAAGCTTGCAAACTGTGTGCTTTGTTTGTTTGTTTGTTAAAAAAAATGCAATACAACTGTTTGGTTTGCTCCTGACACGATAAATAAAAATAAATTTAATCAACTACCAAGCTTTCAAACTTTGTGTTTTGTTTGTTTGTTAAAAAATGCAATACAACTGTTTGGTTTGCTCCTGACACAATAAATAAATTATTGTATTTGTGCAGGTACAGCTGTACCAGGAGCTCCAATTTTGTTTGCTTTGCATTGAATATTTGTTATAGTCCTAAGTTTCAGGGACTCTGCAGATATGTGGCTTCTTTTGGCTGCAATCATAGGGCAAGCCACCTGTCAATTATAGTTAGGTTCCCTGGTCCTGCCCCCTTTGGGTTTTTGGAGGGAATAGGAGCTTTTTTGGGTTCAGTCCACACAGAGAAGCTTTCCATGCAGGACATAATACCAAGAGCTCCTGTAGAAAGCTTCGTCTTCTACAGCTTGGCCGGGGTTATACAGCCCACAGCTTGGCCGAGGATCATACAGCCTTACAGCTCCTTTGCGGAGGGACTTCAGTCAACCATCACTGAAACCTGAACTCCTTTTCCCCTGGAGGTCTACAAAGCTCTGCTTGGTAAGGGTCACTCGCGGAAGCCAGAAGCAGTTGGTACCGGGTGCAGGGGCTCCACGCCAACAGAGGCAAAGACAGACTGCCCAGATTAGAAGTTAAGGATTTCCCCATTTGTTACAGTTAAGAAGATAGTGCCTGTTCCCTGTGGACAAGATTGAAAGAGCCAATAGACTGTTAAGAAAGCCTTAAAGTACCTGTTTGTTTTCATTAATAAAGAACTTTGTTGAACCTTTAAGTCAGTGTTTCTCAACTTTCCCTTAATACAGTTCCGCATGTTGTGGTGACCCCCAAACATAAAATTATTTTCATTGCTACTTCATAACTGTAATACTGCTATTGTTATGAATTACGATGTAAATATCTGATATACAGGATGTATTTTCATTCACTGGACCAAATTTGGCACAAATACCTGATACACCCAAATTTGAATACTGTGGGGTTGGGGGTTGATTTTGTCATTTGGGAGTTGTAGTTGCTGGGATTTATAGTTCACCTACAATCAAAGAGCATTCTGAACTCCACCAACAATGGAATTGAACCAAACTTGGCACACAGACTTCCATGACCAACAGAAAATACCGGAACGCTTTGGTGGGCATTGACCTTGAGTTTGGGAGTTGTAGTTCACCTCAACTCCATTGTTTGAGTCCAGCATTGTGGACTCAAACAATGATGGATCTGGATCTGGAGTTTGGGGAAAACAGACCTTGACATTTGGGAGTTGAAGTTGCTGGGATTTATAGTTCACCTACAATCAAAGAGCATTCTGAACCCCACCAACAATAGAATTGGGCCAAACTTCCCAAACAGAAACCCCATGACCAACAGAAAGTACTGTGTTTTCAGATGGCTTTTGGTGACCCCTCTGACACCCCTTCGCGACCCCTCCAGGGGTCCCGACCCCCAGGTTGAGAAACCCTGCTTTAAGTATTCTAGAGACTGTGTTTTAAGGAAATCCAAGGGCCTTTAATCTGAGGCAGCCCCGGTGTCCCGTTGGGTACACAGAATTTATGTCCTGTCTACAGTCTTATGCACAGGCCCAGCGTGCGACAGCACAGCACATTATAAGATTATCAATATTACATATGCATTCAATATATATTATTAGTACGGAACAATATTACTATTATAGTAAAAAAAATGGAAACAAATAACGTTGAAAGGCAGACCCACTCCATATCTAATCAAGGGAAAAGGTGATGAAGGCCATCAAAGCTTCCCAAGTCCTCCAGCAATGTCCCCAATGTTTTCTTTCTATCACCAATGTGAGATGGTGCCTACATTTCAGCGAAGTCCGCCAATTTAACGAACCAAGTTTCAGCTAAGGGGGAAATATAGGAAAAGGCAGTGGGGAAGAGTCAGTACGCTCGAAAGACAAGGCCACACGAAATAGGGTCAAGGGGGAGGACACTGGGGGACCCGCAGAGGGCCTCCTCCTCCTCCCTCCTGGCCTCTCTCTCTCACACTCACTCACCCGCCTCCTGTTTAATCCCTGCGTGAGGCGCTCCGTTTTGCGAGAAGGAACATTACGGCTGCCTCAAGTCCACTAAGCGGGAAACAGCTTCCAATAACGGAGAAAGAAAGATGCCCCTTCCTCTCCAACCACAAACTCATTCAGAAAGAGCGACCCCAACTCACAGAGTCCGCCTTGTTCGGAATTAAAGCCGCTACCGCTGGCTCCTCTTCTTTATATATGAGGAGGGGGAGCTCATTCTCAAAATAAATAAAGGGGGGGGATTGTGAAGGCGCTCATAACTCTTTATGAAGCATCACCTTCTTTTTTTCATGTAACTCCCCCCTTCTTGACCCTGACTTATCGCGTCCCACTTCGCCTTTGCCTCAGGAGTAGGGGGCGCTCATTCTACAATAAAGAAAGGGGGGGTATGGAGAAGGCGCGTATAACTCTTTATAGGGCATCACCGTTCTCTTTCACGCAACACCCCCCTCTTCCCGTCTCCGACTTACCCCGTTCCACATTCCACCTGCCGAGGCGCGCGAGCTTAACTCTCAACCGTCGGTGCTCAGGATCGCACAATCCTCCTCAGCCGCCCCGACCCCGCCCCTCCCCTTCTCGAACGTGTGGAAATTGGCCCCGCCCACTCGGTCCTATCTAGGCTAAGAAAGGAGGTGGGGCCAAAATAAATAAAAGAGGTCGGAGGAGGGGGCGGGACCTTGGAAGGAGGGATTGGCGTTCGGAGCAGCCAATGAAAGAGCGGATTAGGGAAAGCCTAGGGATTTAATATTGCTCAACCCAGGGTTAAAGAGCCAGCCTTTCCATCACTCCAGCCTGCTTCCCTGGCCCTGTTTTGAAACTGTTCCGTTTTTCTCTATCCATCTCACTTACCACAAGCTACTTGTACTCACTTTCAGAAAGAATAATAGAATCATAGAATCAAAGAGTTGGAAGAGACCTCATGGGCCATCCAGTCCAAACCCCTGCCAAGAAGCAGGAATGTTGCATTCAAATCACCCCTGACAGATGGCCATCCAGCCTCTGTTTAAAAGCTTCCAAAGAAGGAGCCTCCACCACACTCCGGGGCAGAGAGTTCCACTGCTGAACGGCTCTCACAGTCAGGAAGTTCTTCCTCATGTTCAGATGGAATCTCCTCCCTTGTAGTTTGAAGCCATTGTTCCGTCCTAGTCTCCAAGGAAGCAGAAAACAAGCTTGCTCCCTCCTCCCTGTGGCTTCCTCTCACATATTTATACATGGCTATCATATCCCTCTCAGCCTTCTCTTCTTCAGGCTAAACATGCCCAGCTCCTTAAGCCGCTCCCATCCCATTTTAAATGGTTTTTTATGTGCTTTTATTTATTTATTTATTTATTTATTTATTTATTTATTTATTTATTATTTACTTTGCTTATATACCGCTGTATCTCAAGCCTGAAGGCGACTCACAGCGGTTCACAAACAGTAAAAACAGTAGAAACAGCAGTGGTTCCATACAACATATAACAATTGACTTAACACATTATCCATAAATTACCAATAAGCAATTACAATGCACAATTATTACAAAAAACAACCATACCCAATCTTCTCATCATCCAAGCGTAGTCCAGGTTCGTCGTCCATTGTTCCATTCCTATGTTCCATTACCAGATTGCACTAAATTACTCAAACGCCTGCACAAACATCCAGGTCTTCACCTTTTTGCGGAATACCATTAGAGATGGTGCTAGTCTAATGTCCGTAGGAAGGGCGTTCCACAGCCAAGGAGCCACCACCGAGAAGGCCCTATCTCTCGTCCCCGCCAGCCGAGCTTGAGAAGCAGGCAGGATCGAGAGCAGGGTCTCCCCGGAAGATCTCAAAGTCCTGGTGGGTTCATAGGCAGAGATGCGGTCAGATAGGTAGCTTGGGCCGGAACCGTTTAGGGCTTTAAAGGCCAACGCCAGCACTTTGAATTCAGCCCGGTAGCAGATCGGTAGCCAGTGGAGTTGGCGCAACAGGGGGGTTGTATGCTCCCTGCGCTCCGCTCCTGTTAAAATCATGGCTGCCGAGCGTTGGACTAGTTGGAGCTTCCGAGCTGTCTTCAAAGGCAACCCCACGTAGAGATCGTTGCAGTAGTCTAAACGGGATGTAACCAGAGCGTGGACTACCGTGGCCAAGTCAGACTTCCCATGGTAAATCTATATAAATAAAAATGCAACGTTCGTTTGTGGGATTAACATAACTCAAAAACCACTGGACGAATTGACACAAAATTTGGACACAATACATGTATCAGGCCAGCGAGTGACCATCACTCATAAAAACACAGAAAAATACAGTGGAAGTGACTTAAAAGCAAAAAAAGTATTATTATTTATTTCTGGCATTTCTATCTTGTCCTTCTCAATCCCCGAAGGGGGACTCAGGACGGCTTACATTCAGCAATAATTTGATGCCATAAATACAAACAAACAACAATATAGCAATTGTTTAAAACAATAGATAAATCATTAGGTTAAAAGCAGTTAAAACATTTGTCAACACCCTCTGTCAGCTCCAGCTCTCTATGTGGGGATATGAGAGAAGCTTCCCACAAGGATGGTAAAACATCAAAATATCTACGAGTCCCCTGGGCAACATCCTTGCAGATGGCCAATTCTCTCACACCAGAAGCAACTTGCAGTTTCTCAAGTCACTCCTGACACACACACACAAACTGAGAAGAACATGTGGATCAAGAATAGAGCTCCACAGTCATCTACATATCCACTGCCAAGATACTACACTTAGGGAAGGCCATCATGCTAGGTCAACGAGGGACTGCCTAAGGAAGGAAGGAAAGAATAGAGTTTAACGGAAAACCATGTTTTGGGTCAGGAAATGTTTATCTTCCCACACACCTACAATCCTCAGATCTGCACATGCTCAAAATTTGAAAAAAGAAAGAATGTAACAAGCACAAAACTCTATGAAATCATGGGGTTGCCATAAGTCAACTGGTGACTTGAAGGCACACATGAGAAGGCAAACTGCACACATACACTGTTGTGGGGGCCTTTAGGCATTTAAATGGTCCACAGACAGGAATCCCTCCCTGGCACAGTGTTGATGTTGGCGAGAGAAGGGAGGAACTGTGCAGCTTCCCTGCTGTGCAAGCATTGTGAAAACCCAAAGTACAGGAACAATGTGCTCTCCTCCCTCGCTCCCAAGCTGCTTCTTTTCTCTTTTTTTTGTCCTTTGCAGCTAGGTCTGTAAAGCTAGGCTTTTGTTTCATGCTTTTGTAGCTTCTTCAGGAGGAAATTAAGTCAGATGTCATGTGAGTAATGGTTCGGAGAGGGCTAAAAACTCGATGATTTTTATTAATTTAGGCATGTCATGTCAATAAATGTAGCTAGCCTTAGTAATAGTGAAGCCTCCTAAGAAGCAAAGACTTCGTTTCACGCAATTTGAGGAATGTTGTGGGGGTCACTGCTGTGTCCATCCATTTTTATCATGGTCCTAAGTAAACAAAAGCAGAGGACTGGGGATCCGTGGGAGAAATAACACAAAGAGGCAGGTAGAGTGGCTAGATCTGCCATAAAGTATTAATCCCCCGTCATGCTCGATTAAACATAAGCCACTTGGCAGATTTGTTGTCATAGTTATGTATACACAAAGCCATTGCCTGTTTGCTCCCCAGTTACTATACGTAAGTCTTTGACAAACCTTAGCTCCTTTATGTCATACCAAAGTACAGCGTACATACATAATACATAATACAGATGTGGCAAATGTATAACAATGGAAAGAAAAATGAAGGTGTTGTGCCCAAAATTAAAATTCTGCCTCCCCCCATGTATTTTCACTCCAGTCCCCATATTTCTAGCATTGCAATAAATGAGACATTGAAAACTGTTCATACCTAGAACTCCTGCATTTATTGTTTGCACTCTGTTGATAACTGTGCTTGTCCTTTTTCTTTGCATGACCTTTCCTTATGTATATTTCTAAACATTGAGCTTGTTTCCAAAAGGTACTGAATCCATCTGAACAAATTTTACAGGAATAAAAAAAAACCATGCTCAGGATATGCATTCTTTTGCTATATAAATTGCAGTTTTCCAAGCCCTATGCGGAAGGGTTTTCATACATATAATAATATAAATTTTATTTTAAACAGGAAAAATATGTAGAGATATAATGTTGTGAGATGTCACCTCAGAAAAACAGAGAAAATATTTCAGGCAAAATGGAACCAAACCTTTCATTTTACTGTGTTCAGTATAAAAGAAATGATATGTTTTCCACTGTAATTATGAAATTATCTTCTCCCATCAGTTTTATGATGGTCTGAAAAAAAAATAAAGTGATCACAATGCCTTAGTGGTAAAAATATTGTCTTCTTTTGTTCTTGTTGACAAGACAATCATGTGGAGGGAGTCTGTCTTACTCTGTGTCAAGGGACAAGTTATCAATAGTTGAATTCTGTGCCGAATCAAACGAACATTTGAAGTACCATCATGTTTGATGTGTTCACCCAGTGATTGCTGTCAGATTCTATTGATTCTTCTTTATAGCCCTTGTATTGATTTTTTAAAATAAACCACTGAGCAGTTTTGACATGTACAGAACATTCTACTCCTAGCCCAAAATGTGCTGCCACCTATAACTCATTTTTCAAATTTGAGGGATTTTGTACCTTTCGGAAACAACTCCACAAATGTTCAACTACAGTTTTAAGTTACTACAATGCTAAAAATTCTTACTGCATTCATAAGTGAAGATATGTATGTGTGTGTTTAGGAAACATTATTCTGGGTCATCAAGACTTTCTTAATGTTTCTAGTTTTATAATGCATCCTCCAGATGCAACTTCCAGCATTCCTTACCATTAGCTATGGTGGTTAATGCTGTTGTAAATTGCAGCTCAACCATTTCTGGACAGCTGCAGGATTCTGAGCGGTATGTTTCTAGTTTGCTTTGTACCTTTCAAAGCAAAATTATTCTGTATTCTGGGTTGCTGTGAGTTTTCCAGGCTGTCTGGCCATGTTCCAGAAGCATTCTCTCCTGACGTTTTGCCCACATCTATGGCAGGCATTCTCAGAGGTTGTGAAGTATGTTGGAAACGAGGTAAGTGAGGTTTATATATGTGTGGAATGTCCAGGGTGGGAGAAAGAACTCTTGTCTGCTTGAGCAAGTGTAGGCCAGCTAACACCTCCCAACAAAGGATTCCCCTAGGCAGGATGCACCCAGGCTTTGAAGCTGCAAGGCCATTATATGCTAATCAAGGTGGCCAATTTCAACATTCACACTTCACTCAAGAAGACAAGAGTTCGCTCTCCCATCTTAGACATTCCACAGATATATAAACTCCACTCACTTAGTTTCCAACAGACCTCACAACCTCTGAGGATGCCTGCCATAGATGTGGGCAAAAAGTCAGGAGATAATGCTTCTGGAACATGGCCAGACAGCCCAGAAAAATCACAGCAAACCAATGATTCTGGCCATGAAAGCCTTCGACAATATGCAGTCTATTTTCATAATTTAAAAATTGTATATGTGAGTCATCCAACTTCAATATTGTTGCTCAGTGGTTTATTTTAAAAAATCAATACAAGGGCTATAAAGAAGAATCAATAGAATCTGACAGC